TGTACGGTAGGCGCTTGCAACTCGTAGGGCACTCATACGATAGATTGGTCCTGCCTTTCTCCATGAATCTTGCTTCTCTAGGGCGTCAGCCCAAATGGATATTCCATAGGTGAGCACCGATGTGACTACCGATGACAATAATAGCCTTCTGCTCTGCTTTGGGCCGCCGACGTTCGGCATCAATCGTGCGAGACTAAACTAGCTCTCACTACTGATGCTTTAGTACCGACGTGTTCCACTTGCTGCTTGAAGTTGAGTCGAACGTCAAGCATCAATCCCATAGATATCGTATATAAGGTTGTGATGTTATTTCTTGTTCGCCAACATTCAGCTTGATGGTCTCTATCACTTTTCTGCTAGTAATAAGCACTGCTTCGGTTTTGTGCTTAGCCAGTGGGAGATTTACTGCATTCATCCATCGGTTAACTCGCTCAAATGTGATGTCAAACAAGTTGCGAATTTCGTCAAGGTGTTTTGCGACAATCACTACGGCTACATCGTCCGCGTATGCTACGAGTTTGACGCATCTTGGGATTTTCAGTCTCAATAGTCCGTCATACATGATATTTCATAACAGTGGGCCAAGAACAGAGCCCTGCGGAACACCACCAGTAATATCATATTCTTCGGGACCGTTTTTCGTGTCGTATTTTAGCACTCTATCTGTAAAGTAGCTAGTCACTATTCTGCGCAGATATGCTGGAACGTTCTTCTCTTCAAGAGCTTGCATGATGCAGTCCCAGTTAGCGGAGTTGAAGGCATTCTTAATGTCTAAGGCAGCTATCAGGCAATACTCCTTTGTACCACCCTTCCATCTAGTTCCTGCGATTGCCTCCTAGGCCGTATTAACAACCAGGTTGGTTGCATCCAGGGTTGATCGTCCTTTCCGAAATCCATACTAGGTGTCTGCCAGGAGTGGGTCAACTACTGCATCTATCTGTTGATGAATTTTATGCTCAAATATCTAACCCACCGTATCTAGCATGCAAATCGGCCGGTAAGATGACGGATCTTCTGGTGGTTTCTTCCCTTTAGGTAACAGTACCAATCGTTGCTGTTTCCATTTACGAGGAAAAGTCCCCTCTTTGAAGCATGCGTTGTAGACGTCTAAGAATAATGTTGATGCCCGAGAAAAAATATTTATATATAATTATATATATTTATATATAAATTGGTTATATATGATTATATATGAAAAATGGCCAAATATAATCATATCTAATTATATATAATTATGTATAATTATATATAATTATATATAACAATATTTAATTATAAATTTATTACATCTAATTAATTATTGGGTTAATTTTATGGATAAAGTATTTAATATGGTCCTACGCAATTCTGTGTAACTGATCAAAATGCAAAAAAAATATCTAGATCTAATTTTATGGCTATAACACCAGCGGTCACCCATCCAACTATTAACCCTACTCAATGCTGCTTAACTTTGGTGATCTCCGTGCGTCTTGAAGTTTCTGTCTGCTGTGCTGCTGTCTTAGACAATAATGATTCTATGATCTACTTAATGTATCATATGAGTTTATCATAAATATAATATAAAAATTGATTTTATAATATATTTGGATAGTCATAATTCATAATTTATTTATCTTACTGAATTTCATTATAATATAACACTTATTTAAATAATAAAATAAATAATGATTTCACTATTACGTAGTAGCAGAGCAGACAAAACATCTCATAGGAAATGTGACAAATTTTGTATTTCAGAATTATTTAAACGTAATTATAAACATCATTTTACACTTTTTGTGATTACCAAAAAAAATTTTTTTTTCAAAGAAAAAATTTTTATGTATGTTAATTATATATAACCATATATAATTATATATGGGACTATGTACAATCTTGCATAGCTGTATATTGCTCCATATATAGTCATATATGATTATATATGACCTCATATACAATTCCATATATAATCATGTATGATTATATATAATTATATATAATCTTGCTTGGCTGTATATTGCTCTATATATAGTCATATATAGTTATATATGATTATATATAACCTTATATACAATTCCATATATAATCATGTATGATTATATATAATTTTATATACTTATATATATTTGTATATGGAACTATATATAATCCTGCATGGTTGTATATCGCTCCATATATAGTCATATATAATTATATATGATTATATATAATTCTATATAATTCTATATGTGATTCCATATATAATCATATATGATCATATACAATTATATATGATTATATAGAAACATTTTTTCTCGGGTGCTGCCTTTATGATGGTCTTCAAGGCTATATTAGGGATTCCGTCCAATCCCGGCGCTTTATTATTTCCTACATGGTTGCAGGCCTCCAGCAATTCTTCTTCAGTGACAGGTGGAATGTCGTCTAGTTCGCCTGGCGCTAACTGATAATCGAAACTGTGTTGCTGTGGAAACAATGCAGTGACAATTTTCTGAAGGAGTTGAGGACACGTAGGTGACGGTATTTGTTGTTTTTTCACGTGGGTCATGACCACCTTATAAGGCCTACCCCACACGTCTTTGTCCACCTCGTATATGAGCTTTTTCCAGCATCTTTTTTTGCTCTCTTAGATGGCCTTATTCAGTTCACGACGAGCTTTTTTGTACTCTGCGATCAGCACTGCAGAGTTAGGTCGTTGGTAGCCACGCTGAGACATTCTTCTCTTTCTTTGACACTCTTTACGGAGGTTGCTGATGTGATCGTTCCACCAGTGTACCGCAGGTCTTGAAATTATGCCATGTTTACGAGGCATACTGGCATCACAGGCTTGTGTTACTCTTATCATCAAGTCCTTAGTCTGATCTTCTGCACATCCAGTGTTGATCGGGTCACTATCGAGGGCTATTAGCAATACTTCTAGGTCAAAAGATTTCACCTTCCAACCAGCGATGTTGGGTTGCTTGATAGAGGTTCCCTGAGGTTCTGGTCGTTTGATGTTTCCCAGAGTATCTCGAGTGGTACGAAAGATTTCATACTAACTTTACCATCTCTCTATGCCTCTACGTGTAAAAGATGCAATTTCGAAAATTAATTACTCAAAAACGGTGCGGTGAATTGATCTGGAATTTTGGTGGTGAATTATTAATATATTTATCTTTCGATAAAAAAAATTCAATAAGTTTCTTGAAATATGCTTTTCGTGGAGGTACTATACCTTAAGAGAGTTATATGATAATAATATATAGAGGCACTTGAGTGGTATTACTGTGGTAATAGCAAAAATGTGGAAAATACAGTTACAGTCTTGTAAAAACCAAACAGGTATACAAGTAAAAACGATATAATAATAATAATAATTAATAATTATTTCAATCACCATCACTATTGTCAGAAGATACGTTGTCCATCAATGGGCTAGCTGAGACAGCAACCACAAGGACGGTGAGGACAAAGAAAGCTAAAATTAAAAAGTTATATTAAAAAATAACATACTTGATAAAATATTTTATTAAGTAAAACTTTCTGTACCCTTCATGATAAAGATTTTGAGAGTTTGGAAAATTTAATTGATAATCAACGGCTTTATACATACACCCCTACGGGTTTTTTAATAACATGTTATAAAAACAATACTCACCAGACATTTACTGATGTTTGATCATTATTGCAATTTCAATCAAAGATGTTATTTTAAAATAAATCCAGATAAATGCATCTGCCTTGACAAAAAAGAAGTATAATAAATGTATCTGATTGCAAACATTTACTCATATAATTTTAATGTTTTTAGAAGATCCAAAAATAAGTTATTGGAAAAAAATAAATGAATGTTTCGTCAGAGTTTATTTATCATAATAATACTTTATATAATTTTTCTGCCCTCCGGCCGGAAAGTGGCAACTTTCTGGCCGCTGCGCTAAACAAAGTTGCCACATTCCGGCTACGTCGAGCAGAAAAATAGTATACACACCTTGGCCAGTAAAAAGTAAAGCCTCAGACCACATGTTTGTCAACCACGGCTTCGCCTCGGCCAACAATTACATGTGGTCTGAGACTTTTCTTATTTTACTGGCCTAGGTATGTAATCTACTATTTTTAAGTATGTACTAAGTACGCCGTCATAAAAGTCTTTTGTAAATTTGCTGCAAAACAAATTTTTTTTATTTATTGAATGCTTTTGTCTTTTTTATTGAATTTAAAACAAACAGTAAAACCATATTTGTTATTTTTGAATTTTTAAATTAAATAAAATATTTAAAAATGTCAAAATTAAAAAATATTTGTCTACAGGTATTTGTTAATTAATTTTTTTCATGAAAATTTTGAAAAGAAAAAATTTGACATGTAGAAAATTTGAAAAATTCCAAATGAAATTAATTTATTTTTTTATTGTCTAAAAAGCTATTAATTAAATTTGAAACAAATACCTGCAACAGAACAAGCAAAAAGCATAACAAAAACATTGGTAGAACTGAATATGTTTCACAACATTGACCCTAACCAACAATCACAACTTGTCATTGTTTTTTAATAGTTTAACTTTTAATATTTGTCATAAATCATTAATTATTTTAAACAAATAATGAATAATTTTTTGAAAAGGGCTCTAACGAGTGGTCGTGCATTGTCATATCGATCATCAGTTAGCTGTCAAAGAATCAAGTAAGTTAATCCGGTAACTACGTAGTTTATTTATTTATTTATATATAATTATGATACTGAAATCAGCTGATATTTGTCAATTTTTTTTAATTTTTATAAAAAATCAACTAGAAAAAAAAATTATTTTTAAAAAGTTTGCACTTTTAATTTATATGAAAATTAATTTAGCAGATATTTGATAATTTTTAGAACTTTTGTTAACAAATAAACTTTGGCAAAAAAAAAAAATTGACATTTAGAAATTTAAAAAAATTAAAAATTAGTCAAGCTAATTTTAGTGTCATTAATTTATATAGGTGGAATTTTTTGAATTTTTTTATAGAAATTCAGTAGTTATAAAAATCAAAGAAATTGACAGGTGTCAATAAATCATTTATAATTACTTGTCATTCAACAGAGCTACAGGTGATCAACGACAATTGCACGATTGGAATACTCCAAATTTGCTAGTGAAACAAAACAAGTATGCTGAGCTGCAGAAAAGACGAATGTTTATCCAGACCCAGGACACCCCGAATCCCAACAGTCTGAAATTTATTCCAGGAGTCACAATTCTGGAACCCGGACAGACAAAAGACTTCCCCAATGCTACCGAGAGCTACTGTTCCCCGCTGGCCAAGATGCTGTTCCGTATCGACGGCGTAAAGTCTGTTTTCTACGGCCCAGATTTCATAACTGTCACTAAAGTTGATGAAGACGTTGACTGGAATCTTCTGAAGCCGGAAATTTTTGCTACTATTATGGACTTTTTTGCAGCTGGTCTTCCTGTACTTACTGAAGAACAGCCTTCTTCTGACACACGTATGTTTTTTTTTTTATTTGATTATTTGTTGGTTGAAATTTAAGTTTTTATTATTTTGTAGAAATAAATGAGAACGATGATGAGATTGTTCAAATGATAAAAGAACTTTTGGATACTAGAATTAGGCCTACAGTTCAAGAGGATGGTGGTGACATTGTTTTTGTGGTAAAAAATATTTTTAAAATAATAATAATAATAATAGTTATTCGCGTTTTTATCCATGCTTTACAATATATTAAATCGATTCTTATTTTCAGGATATTTAATATTTGATGTTTATTTAATTTTCATACTATGAAAATTAAATAAACATCAAATATTAAATATCCTGAAAATAAGAACCGATTTAATATAATATTAAATAATAATAATAAATTATTTTCAGGGTTTCGAAAATGGAATAGTAAAATTAAAGATGCAAGGATCATGTACCAGTTGTCCAAGTTCAGTAGTAACTCTAAAAAACGGAGTCCAAAATATGATGCAGTTTTACATCCCAGAAGTACTTGGCGTCGAGCAAATTGAAGACGAGTCGCAAAAAGTAGCTAAGTCGGAATTTGAAAAATTCGAATCCAAATTACCCGAAAATGACAAATAAAAAAAACGATGATAGACTTAAAAATTAAATAATCAATTTAAAAAAAAAAAAATTAATAATAATAATAATAAATCTTAAAACATTGTACTATAGTTGTAATATAAAAAGTTTATAAATTATTTACACCATATAGTTAAAGTTTTGTTTAAATTTAATCTTTCCAGCAATTTACAAAATCTTAACGGCTAGTGACGGACACTTGCCATACACGGATAGTGTTGTCAGAGTAACCAGCAAACAGAGTTTGCCCGTCAGTCGACCAAGCGAGCGAAAGACATTGGGGTTCGATCTTGCTGTTAGAGGAGACGACCTCAGCCTTGAGTTCCTCAACCATTTCCTTGCTCTCGAGGTCCCAGATCTTGATCCAGGGTCCGAAAGCGGCACAGAGCCAGTATCTGTTCGGGCTGAAGCACAAAGCGGTGATGATGTCGTTGTGGTCGAGGGTGTGCAAGTGCTTGCCGTCGTTCAAGTCCCACAACATGGCTTTGCAGTCCTAGAACCCGTTAAAAATAATCGTGTCAATAAATTGTTGAAGTAAAAAATAAATAAATATATTTTCAGAAAATACATCAGTCCCATATCCGCTAAGCACTCATGGACATCGTTAGATTAAAAGTTATACATCATGAAAAAAATTTTTTTTAATAAAAAAAAATAAAATAATTATTTATTGTGGAAAAAATTAATTACCTTTCCACCAGAAGCACAGAGAGAACCGTCAGGAGAAACAGTGACGGTGTTAAGGTACCCGGTGTGTCCGTAGTGGTTGATCTTTAGTCTGCAGTTGGTCAAGTTCCAGACCTTGACGGTCTTATCCCATCCAGCGGAGACGATGATTGGGTTGGTGTGGTTTGGCGAGAAACGGACGCAACTGACCCAGTCACTGTGTCCTTCATCTTGGATGGTGTACTTGCACTCAGCAAGGGTGTTCCACAACTTGATGGTCTTGTCTCGTGATCCTGAGACGATTTGACGGTTGTCTACGGAGAAAGCGACACTCAATACGTCCTGGTAAAAAATAAAATATTTATAATTAATAAAACTGTTGTTTTGATCTAAAAGTGGCGCGACGATACAAGCACTCCAGGAGGAATTGCGGCCAATACTTACGGCACCGGCGACTTAATATACCTCTTCAGATAATAATAAAAAAAAAAATATAAAAAAAAAAGCTTCAGTTAACCAGTCAGGGTGCCGTAGCCCGTAGCCCTGATTCTCCGACAGTCGGAAGAGACTCAATGGCCAGTATTTTAATTAATACTATGGTAATAGATTTACGATCCGTTCCATGGGTAGAACTGATAAATGTCACACCTTGGTATGGTCCTCAAAACGACGAGTAGTACGTCCTGCAGCAAGATCCCACAGACGGAGGGTCTTGTCCCAGGAACCAGAGAGGGCGTAATTACCGTCTGAGGAGAGAACCACGTCGCTGATAAAGTGAGAGTGCCCGTGGAGACGTTTTTGCGGGATTCCGTAGTTGGTTTCGTCACGAGTTAATTTCCAAACAATCAAAGTCTTGTCTAGGTAATAAATTTTTATTTATTAAATTAAATTAAAATGCAATTGGAAAAATAAATTTTAGGTTAGAAATAAATTTTTAAAATGGCGTGGCGTGGAAACATGCCGCATGGCTTACCTCGTGAAGAAGACAAAATCATATCAGGATATTTGGGGTTGGTGGCGATTTGGGTGACCCAGCCACTGTGCCCCCATAGGATACCTTTTAATTGCAAAGTTTCACTCATCTTTTGATTCGGTGAAACACGTTCTACTCGCGGATTACACTGGATTAAATCCAACGATCTGTACGCGTCGACGAGCGAAAGGAAAAGAGCTTCTCTATAGGAAATAAGGAAATGTGCGCTTCTGAGGTTATAACAGACAATGGACGCTGATAATTATCATTTTACAGCTAACGACATCTGTACGGAGAAAAGCGGGAATTTCAATTTAAAAATTTAAAATCTTTCGGGTTTTTACAAACAAATATTATAAAAAATCGAAAATTGAAATTTTTATTTGCATAAATGGAGTTGAAAATTTTTTTAAATAATATTTTTAATTTAAAAAAAATTATTTATATTAATTTTTACAGTGAAATTTAAAATTAATAATCGATTATTATTTTTTTTTTATAATTTACAATTAATTTATAAATTTTTATATACTTATCAATAAATAATTAATTTAATAAAGAGATTTGGAAAAAAGCGCGGGAAAAATATATTCAAATAGACGCAATCGCAGTGAAGCTGTTACAAAAATAAAATAAGAAAAGCCACTGATGTAACACCCGATGAAAATAAATCATTGAATCAAATCAACTAAGATAACATAATGACATGTTGTGGCTATTAATTAATTTAATTATTAATTCATTATAGGAGCAAAAATGTGATAAAAGTACTTTAATGTACTTGTTGTTTGTCCAGACACTTGATAAAAATAAGAGAGTTGGTTGTTATTTCGACTTTCACCAAGTACAGCGTATAGAAGCTACTGTACGAGCCGTACAACTTCCATAACCTGAATTGAGCATACGTGCTTCCACTTCCACTCGTAAGTATACATAATTTTAACATATTCGTTCGCATGGATAAGAACAAGGTCAATGATCTTTTTTCTTTTTGATTTAGAAAAAAAACTAAAAGACGCGTGCGCATATCAACGTGACAGTTGTTGTTACAATAGTTGATGTTAGCTGTAGTGAGTGATCACCACCGTCACCATCACCATCATCAACATCACTGGTGGACAGCCAACACGTACAGGAATTTATCCGCTTTCTAAATAAAAGTTATTAATTTTCTTGCTACCAAAAATGGCTCTAATTGAGGAGAGAAATAATTTACACTTTGTTGCTAAAAGTTTGATTGCTGGTGGTGAGTTTATTTTTTTAAATATTAAATTTAGCTGTCAATTTACAATTTTTTTTAACAAACAAATTTTTTTCAAAAAAATTGCTTTTTTTTATTTTTAAAAATTTTTACATCACACTTTTTTTTCTTATTTTTTGTGTCATAATTTATTTGTCAAAAATATTATTAAAATTCAAATTAAATATCTACTAATATAATTTTAATAATTTTTTTTGCCATAATTTATTTGTTAAAAAAATTATCAAATATCTGTTAAATTAATTTTCATATATTAAATACACAACTTACGCAGGAGTAATTATCTATTTAAATACCCATTGTTTTTATTTTAATCAGCGACTAATTGTTTAATTGCAGGTGTTGCGGGAATGTGCTCCAAAACTACTGTCGCTCCGTTAGATAGAATTAAAATTCTTTTACAAGCTCACAGTAATCATTACAAACATCTAGGTATTTTTATTTATTTTATTATAAATTATTTAAATATATATTATTTATAATTATTTTTGCAGGCGTATTTTCTGGCTTGAAAGAAATAATACTGAAAGAAAAATTCTTTGCACTGTACAAAGGAAATTTTGCTCAAATGATTAGGATATTTCCGTATGCAGCCACACAGTATACGTCTTTCGAAATGTATAAAAAGGTTCATTATTTTATTGTTATTTAAATTACTTAACAATTGTGTCTCAGGTTATTTATTTTTAGATTAATATTATTAAATAAAAAAAATAATATTTTTTTTTCTTTCAGTACATGGGACGAATTTTCGGTAAAAATTCTCACATAGACAAATTTTTCGCTGGATCCAGTGCTGGAGTTACTGCAGTAACTCTGACGTATCCTCTGGATACTATCAGAGCTCGATTAGCATTTCAAGTAACCGGGGAACATATTTACAGTGGCATTATTCACACAGCGGTGTCTATTTTTAAGGATGTGAGTATTTTTAACTACAAATCGATATTATTAATTTATATTAATCATGTTAAATGATTAAAGGAAGGAGGATTTTTGGCGTTGTACCGAGGATTTTGGCCAACGATATTTGGAATGATACCTTACGCTGGTTTTTCATTTTATTCTTTTGAGTACCTTAAATTTTTTTGTATGAAGTACCTGCCGCATTATCTGTGCAACGACTGTCCAAGAAATACCGGTAATTATTTTATAATAATAATAATAATAATAATAATAATTGTTATTATTATTTTAACTTCTTTTAGATTTATCTTTAATGACAAATTTAGATATGAATTGTCGCTAAATTGTTTATGCCTGGAAGGAAATACAGGCTAACAATATTATAAAAAAATAAAAATTGTTGTATTAGACTGGATAGCCAATTAAGGGGCACAACCAGTGTGACAGCCTAAAAAAAGACGATTTTTCGGAATTAAAATAAAAAAAACTCCTGTATGAATTGTTTTAAAATTTTAAGGGTATATTAATACATATTTTAAGAATATACAGTAAAAATTTTTAAGAAAAAAAATTAAATATTTTCCGAGTTACACGCGATCTCCGACGGCGCTAAAAAAAAAATTCTCGTTAAACTAGAAGATATTGTCCGTACGATGACCCACGATCAAAAAAAATATCAAAAATTGACAAAATGGCGGCGTTTTAAAAAAAAAAGTTGAGTTTTACTCAAAATTTTGGTCGTTTTTGGCCTACCAAAATTCGATTTTTGATCAGATAAAAAAACTGGAGGGTCATCGTATGGAAAATTATATACAGAACATGCAGAAAAAAATTTGGTAGTGATCGGATCATTTGTCTTCGAGTAATCGGATCAATTGTCTTCGAGTTAATTTCTAATGTATATACATCAAATTTGTGAGAATATTACAAATTGATGGAAAATAGCAAATTTTTTTTTTATTTTAAATCACTCCAACAAATTCGAAAAATGCTGTTTCGAGAAAAACGAGTTTTTCTGTAGCTAATGCAACGATCTAACTGCGTATGTAATTTATTATGTTATTTTTAAAGGTATAATCTATCGAAATATAAAAAAAAAAGAATCGATTTTTTGAAAATTTCACACTGGTAGTGCCCCTTAACTGAAAAAAATCTTAAAGTAGTATAAACCAGTCTTTAGAATGAAATAAATATTAAAGTATACCATCGGCTTTAAAAAATGTATTAAATAATAATTATTGTTATTTATAAATCAAAAGAATTAATTGTCGGTACATGTTTGTTTTATTATTCAATTAGCGTCAGATACATCATCAAATGAAATGCAGTAGAAATGTTAAATATCGATAGAGAGAAATTTAATTAAAAAGATTAACAATATTAATTAATAATTGTAGTAATAAATAATAATTAATAAAATAGACAGTAGAAGTAGAAAAATGAATGCTCGATTAAAATAAAGTATCCATTAATTTCGAGTTTTTGTTTACCAGGTGGGCTTGTCTTAACAATGCCAGGAAAATTACTGTGTGGGGGAATAGCTGGTGCTGTAGCACAAAGCTTCTCTTATCCGCTCGATGTCACCAGAAGACGAATGCAATTAGCCATGATGAATCCGGCTACACATAAATACGGGTTATTATTTATAATTATTTTTTCATTTTTATTTAATTTAATAGTTTTATTTTTTTTTTTTTAGGACGGGAATGATTTCGACGATTAAATTAATCTATCTGGAACATGGAATAATTAAAGGACTGTACCGCGGGATGAGTATTAATTATTTACGTGCTGTACCGATGGTATCTGTTAGCTTCACAACTTATGAATTAATGAAACAGATGCTGGACTTGGACACGGGCATGACAATCTCATAGTTTATTTATTAATTATTTTCAAGGTAATTTTATGACCTTTTATTATTTTTTTTTTTTTTGTTTCATTTTTTAGGGATTAATTTATATTTATTATTTAAAGACATATATTGGTAGTATTGTTTGTATTTGTAAGTGTTGCATTAGCAAGAATAAGTAATTGCACTTTTATACCTCAAGTACGTGTTAGAAAAAATAATATTAATATATTTTATATGCTGACTTTTATATAAATAATAAATTTTAATTTTATATTAAAAATTATAAATTTATTGTAAAAGGTAAAACCTCTAATATAAGTAAAATTATATGCAAGCAAAAAAATTTAAGTATCAGCAAATTTAAAAAAATGCCACTTAAGGTGAAAAAAATTACCGTCCTATTTATCTAATCTAAATTATTCAATGAATTCAACTAATAACTAAAATGATAAGACTTAAAAGAAACTAAAAATACTAATTAAATTCAATATGCATTTATTTGTATAATAATAATAATAATAATAATAATCATGATCATAATAATAATATATTAAAGTAATGAATGTCTTGCATTTGAAAAAAATGAAGTTATATTTAATTTAAACATATGTAGACTGTTTAAGTATTTTATTTCATTTTTTTTAAATATAAAATGAAAAAAAATGCACCGTCAATGACGGTTTAATTTTTTATATATACTTGTTTGTATGTCAATTTACAATTAAACACTAATAATGCGCATCTACACACTCGACGTTCATCTCAGTACTCATACCTAGTTATTTTTATTTAAAAGCCACTCTAAACAACTAATACAGTGGATAATTCAAATCATAAAAATTGATAACTAAAAAAAAAATGAATAAAATTTTTAATTTAACAAATTTTTATTTTACAATGCCAATAATTTTAAACACACGTGATTATACGGTAATACAATGATAATTATTATTATAAAAAATAATAATATTTAAGTATCTTTATAATATAATCACGTGTCAGTATTTGTTGTTTTAATAGTAATTATTATTATTATTATTGTTCATAAAATTTATTTAATAATTTTACACAACGCAGGGCTGATTTGGCTTTTGTTACATACGTTTGCTTGTTTTATATTATTATTCACCATAAGCATCAATTAATCAATAATAACTCTTATTTATTATCTTACTCAGCAAAAAGATCATCAAATATTTATTATGAACAATTAAATATTAATAATTGTTGATAATTTATTAAATAATAAATATGCTATTCAAAAATGCACATTTATTTTTTTTTCAACTATTTTTATTAATCATAGCTCGCATACGGGGGATCTGATGCAAAAGTGTTTTACTACATTTTATTATTTTTACTTATTACATCGTCTTAAATTTATTGATTTTTTTTTTAAAAATACCAAAAGTATTTTTTGTTTAATAATCAATCAGTGAAAAAATTTTTTTACATAGAAATAGTACAAGAAAATGATTCAATGATTTTTAGACAAAATGAAATTTTATAATGTTTATGTGTAAATATTTATAGTTATTATTATTATTATTATTATTATTATTATTATTATTATAATCATAATATATATAATTATTAAATAGTGGAAAAAAATAAATCAAGGCAGGGAAGAGTGCAATGATTAAATGGAAATTAAAAACTTTTAAAGAGTCAAAAAAAAAAAAAAAAAGAAAAAAAATATAGAAGTATAAATTTTAAATTAACAAAGTTGTTTTTTTAATACATTAATTAAAGTTACAATGAAATATAATCAACAACTCTGTTACAGTTAAATTCATGAAACGACAGCTAAACGCTAGTGATCGGGTCATCGAAGATTTAAATTATAAAAAATAATTAATTAATAATATAAATAGAAAACATTTTTTACTAACAACCAGTCAATGAAATTTTATAAAATTAAAAATAGTAAACTACTTTATTTATTATTTTATGGTTTGAAATCAACTAGTGCCTATTAATGAGTATTCTAAATAATAAAAATGTTAATTATACATTAAAAAAGATTGAAAATAAAAAATAAAATCACTGTAATAATTTAAATCTTCAATTACACGATTAATATTATTATTATTATTAATTTATTGTGTGTTGTATTACGAGTCAACTCACTATTGCATCAATCCTTATCCGTATTTAGTTTATTTATTCATTCAATTAGTTAACATACTGAAATTACATCGCGATTATACAATTTAACAGAGCGGATTGGATTGAATGAGCTGACACACGAGCACATGCGCTAATTTTTTCGTTTTTCTTTAAACTAAAATTATTACAATTTATTTATTCGTTTTAATAAAATACTTGAAAATAAATTTTAAATTTAAATAATAATAATAAAAATAATAATAATAAAACGGAGACTCTTGGGCACTAAATACAATCGAGATGTGTGAGATTTACTCATTTAAATTGTTTAGTTTGATAAAAAATCCAAGCGATTGATTGATAATTAGGTAATCCAATAAAAAAAGAATTATCGTACCGGTAAAGTTGTTACATGTGTACAATATTATTTATATTTATTTATTTATTGTTATTATTATTATTTATTTATTAATGTTACTTAATGTGTAAAATAGTAGTGTGTCTACATGTCTAGTATGTGTGTGGTGTGTACATGTTAATGGAGACGCAGGCGTTTATTTAATTAGTCACATTACTCGGCTTAATGTTGATAAAGGGCCATGTAATAGTGATGATACAGTTAGAATACTTGGGATCAAATCTATGGATTTGTTTATGTAAGAAAATAGCTCACGCGTTGCCGGTATAAGCGACAAACTCAATAACACATTTCTTACTAAACTTATTACCGATGTTTACACATTTTATTATTTATTATCAATAAAAGATTATGTTTTAGTGGCTTCACTATTAAACCAGCGTCGTTCCATGCCCCTACCTTAGTTTTAAATCTATCATCTTGATATTTTAACTCCTTAGAGGAAGTAATCCGGTGTCCGCCTGGTGACATGTGGTTCTCCACGTCGTGGTGCTGGATCAAACTGTAGGCTATTTTTTTTTTCAAACAAACAAGAATAAAATAATAATTATTTGTACACTTGTAAGAACTTATTTAAGCTTTTAAGGGGGGAAAAGTCCATGTAAAATTTTCAAAAAATCAATTTTTTTTTTTTTTTCAATAATCTGAAAATACAGTATGTTGAGCATGTACTGATGAGAAGAAAAAATAAAATCTCGAATAGTGACGAAGTTATAGCTATTATAATGAAGCGGTCGGAGTGCGTATTGTACTGCGTACTATAACTTTAAACGCGATTATCTCGAAACTGTATTTTTAAAAACTGTTTGTGTTATAACTCAAAAAGTTATTGATCGATTCGTTTGAAATTTGGTGAGGCCTTTCTCTATATTATATTGGATAATTATTTGGATATCATCTCAAATTATATTGGATGAAAAAAAATTTCAGATAGTAGCTAGTATAATCCAGATAACAATGAGTATAATCCAGATTACAATGAGTATAATCGAGATATACGCAGTAGAATCTTGATTTTTTTTAGCTACTATCTGAAATTTTTTTTCACCGCAGATATCACTGAGTATAATCTGGGATGATATCCAGTGTCATCTTGTTCTTTCCGTATACCGGAAGGATAAACCTAAAATTTCAGATATTTTGCGTTGATAAAATATTTTTTTGAGGTCAAAAATGTCAAAAGAATAGCCCCAAATTCTGATTTTCTTTTCAAAGGATTATTTTATATTGAAATATTTTAAAAAAATGAACGATCTTGAGGCTTTTACATGGACTTCCCCCCTTACTATACTTACAATGAATATTTCAAAGCGTCATCCAATTCCATAATCGCAGCTTGATTACCACAACGATAACAATAATTAGGTGCAGAAAATATTGTTACAACATTACGGTCATGACACCTAGAAAAAAAAAAAAATAAAAAAATTTAATAAATATTTAATGATGAAACTGACAAAATAAAAAACAAAAAATAATTTACCAGTTGTAGCCTTCCATAACAAGCTGATGAGCTCGCGATACAAGAGTCAGGCCGTTGGAGTGGTTAAATGTTTCAGAAATATCTTGGCCAAATGTGTAACCGGCACCACGAGGTGAGATGCCCCATCCTCCTCTGTCATCCGGATCTGACCATAATAGATCGCACATTGGTCCCTGGTGATTATAAATAAATGTCATTCATACAATATTATACGCTGTCGTAGTAGCTATTCATTCATTGATAATAATATTATTGTTGTTATTAATAAAGTAAGCTTCTGCCGGCAGATATTATTTATTTATAACGACAAGGCTGTTGTGAGTAAACTATCAAGTATTTTACCTCGTGTGGTACTTCTTGGAGACGGTCCAAAGCACGAATGTGATCCAAGGTATCAATGGAAGGTGATAGACCACCGTGCAAACAAAATATTTGACCGTCGACCAACGCAGTCAAGGGTAGGTAATCAAATAAATCGGTAAAAAATTTCCAGACGTTCGCATTTCCGTACTTGCGTAGACACTCATCGTAAAAACCGTAAACTTGTGTAATTTGTCTGGATTCGTGATTCCCTCTTAAAATAGTTATTCTTTCTCTGTATCTCACCTGTAACAGTTTAAAATCAATTATTTATTTATTTGTAAAGAAACGTTCTCGGAAATTTACAATAATATGTTACATTTTCATGTGTAAAATGTTTATATACAATATATAGTATCTGTTAAGAGAAGATAGATTTAAGATTTAAGAGATTTGAGAGAAGAAAAAAACAAAAAGATAAAAATTTTTAGTAATTGATAATTGATAATCACTATTTTATAATTAGTATCAATTTATTAAAATAGTTACTTTTAGTTTAAAAAAAAAAAAATAATTATAATTAACACTTGTAAGATATTATTGTTTATTCACACGTGATAATCTTTAAATAATAATAACAATTGTACTGTTTTATGATCACATGTCTTTATAATTATTAGCACTGTTGAGTAAATATTTATAAAATGAAAAATTTTAATAAAAATTTTGGAGTCATTGATTTAACGATTATTATTTGCAATTTTATGCATCATAGTTGTTTGGAGTGGGTAATTACATTTAAGTAGGAAGTTTTAGTAGTAATTAAATATCTATTACCTTAAGTGCTACTAGTAGAGTTACAGTTTCGACAGAATAATAACCTCTGTCGACATAATCTCCCATAAATAAATAATTTGTATCTGGAGATTTACCACCTATTCTAAACAACTCCATCAGATCATGAAATTGTCCGTGGACATCTCCACATACTGTCACCGGGCATTTTACTTCCTGGACATTTGACTCCTTAGCTAAGATCTCTTTAGCCTTAAAAATAAAAAAAAAATAAAAAAAAAAAAAAAAATTATATTTAAAAACAACCATAAATATTTATTAACTATTATTAAGAACACTTGTAATCTTATATCGTATATTTTATAGAGGATGTGATACGCTGAGTGATGACACATCAGTTATTGATTACATTTTTTTTCCTGTGGTAAGTTACAACTTTACACTTGTTCAACAAAAATAATTAAAAATTTAATCTTTAATTGATTTAAATAAAAAAAGGTGGCTAATTAATTATGACTAATTACAATGCCGATACCTTGATCAAATAATTATCAATATTGAAAAAAAATGTAATCTAATCAATAATCCATGTTATTGTTTAAATTAAAAAAAAATAATGTTGTTATTATTTATCAACAATCAGGAGTTATTTATATTTGTTGCTGAAAATAAATGGAGTTAAATAAATATCAGAAAATATGGATTTTATTGAGTATGAGGCGAGGATTAAAATAAAAGTAATTATTGTTTTTAAGAATTGAAAAAAGGTGCGTGAAGGTGATAAATTATGACATGCCGCCCAATATTGGTGAGCGAGGTGGTAGAGCACGTTCAATACCTAGGATTAGATAAACTTGACAATTGACTCGAGTGCAGAGTACTCGTAAAAAAAAAAAAAAAAGTATTGTTAAAAAAAAGGTAACTAACTAAAAAAATATAAATAATTATAATAAAGCTGATACCTTGTCGCAGAGAGTTTTAACTTGACTTTCTGTCAGTTGTTTGCAGTCATTTAGCTGCTCTATCCACTGATCAAGCTCTTTCAGTGACGCTTTATCCTCCATTGTAGAAATCTAAATATACGAATTTACAAGTAAGCCTAACACTCAGTACATGTAGAGTAAGAAGACCAGATAATGGGTTAATTTGTTTATTGAATCATTTAAATTAAGATAATATAAAATAAGCGGCACACTCAACACTAAATAATAATCACGATCCTTGATATTAACACAGTCACAAAATGGCTGACTCGAGATCTGATACTTTAGTTGAGTGCCGTTGGTGCGTGACGTCACAGGCTGTTATCTGCGCACGCGTTCCACCAGCAACTCCAAACACCGAATCGACTAATCCCAGCGGCTTTTTTAAAGAATCGACGAATTGAAACACGTGGACACCAGGACTGGCGAATCCCGGCTCACTATTACCGGGAAGAAGCGCGGAGATCCTCGAACTAACTCCCGGGAGTTTCGAATTTATGATTCTTCATTTCGTAGATGTTTGTTTTTAGAGTTATTATTTTTAAAGCAATACTAACTAGGAAATTGATGTAATGACGCTTCAGACTATTAATAATTTATGATGACACTAAAGTTAGCCGCCACTTCATAATTTTTTGATTTGTTTAATATGACACTGAAGTTGACAGACATAAGAAATTTTTTTAGAACTTTATAACAATTAAATTATTATAAAAAAAATTTAATTAAAAAATACAACATGTAAAAATTATTAAAAACTAGCTGTCACCCGCCCGCTCCGCTGGGCATTTTATAGAATTGTATTTTGAGATCTAGACTTGAAATTCAATCGGAGTATTGTTTTGACTTGCACAGATTCCAAATTCTATTGGATTGGCCTGAACCTTTTATCCATGTCATCATTCTAGCGAATATCCATTGTAACTTTCAATGTGCAATCACTATAACATTCCCGTGGCTTTCTCCAAAAATAAATAATAATATTTGGATTTACGATTTTAATATTTGATTTTACTAAATCTCTTAAAATGAGTAGCCAAATTTCTTTTCCACATCTCAAGTGTTCAGAAAATGTATTCATTTTAATCTGTTACATTCCCGTGATCACGTAATAAGAACAATTCATCGGTTATGTGATCAGTAATAATAAAATGTATGCAAAATACTCAATCCGTTGACTATATAGCTACATGTAAAGTTAAATCTTACAATGACTTTCGCCGCTGCCAAAGAGACGATTGTCGTAAGAAAATATAATTATTAAAAAAGAAAAATATTTTAATCTGTTGACCTTGGAGGCCATCCCTATAATTACCTGTTTCTCTTGAGATACTATGAAATTTTATATCTGTAGAAAATATATTTGAAGAATATGAATTTTTTGACAACTATCACTCCCCCCGCACTCCTTTGTGAGAGAAAAATTTCGTAAGATCCTATTTGAGATGATTTTTACATTATAAATAGAATATTCCAACAAAACTTCGAGCCCATAGAAACTATTGTTTTGAAAAGAGAGATTTTCATCATTAACGCCTTAGCAGTCCCTTTTGGGGTTGGAATTTGATAAAATCCATTCTTAGCTGAACTTGACATGATACACGAAGACTCCCATCTAATTTGAAGTCTGTCGAAGTTACAGTTTGGAAACGAAAATTTTAGATTTTAACACCCACCGCCGCAATATCTATCGGAAATAAACTTTATTGAAATTCGTTTTGAGATGATCTTTACCGGAGAAATAAAAGATTTCTACGAAATTTATAGTTTTCAAAAGCTATATTTTGGAAATGAACATTTTTTATTGTCAACACCCACTCCCGCGATCCTTAATGGAGGTGATTCGTTGTAAAATCCATTCTTAGATCATTTCTATATCACATATAGAAGATTCCTACTAAATTTGAAGTCTATAGGAGCTATAGCTTGGAAATTAAAAATTTTCATTGTTAATACCCACTCCCGCAAACCCCTGTGAGGTGAGCTATCATAAAATTTGTTCCTATATTATTTCTACATCTCTTACAGAAAATTCCTACCCAATTTGGAGTCTATTGGAGCTATAGTTTGAAAGCGGGAATTTTTTATTATTAACGCGCCCGCAATCCTCTTTGAGGTAGGATATCGTAAAATTCGTTCATAAATTATTTTTACATTACTTATAGAAAATTCCTACCAAATTTGGGGTCTGTAGGAGCTATAGCTTGAAAATTAAAAAATTTCATTGTTAATAGCCACCCCCGCAACCCCCTGTTGGATGGGATATCGTAAAATTGGTTCATAAATTATTTTTACATTACTTATAGAAAATTCCTACCAAATTTGGGGTCTGTAGGAGCTATAGCTTGAAAATTAAAAATTTTCATTGTTAATTCCCACCCCCGCAACCCTCTGTGGGGTGTAATATCTTAAAGTTCGTTCATAGATTATTTCTACATCTCTTACAGAAGATTCTTACCAAATTTGGAATCGATAGGAGCTATAGTTTAAAAATGGGAATTTTTCATTGTTAATGCCCTCGCAACTCCCCTTGTAGGTGGAATTTCGTTAAATCCGTTCTTAGCTGGCCTCTACTCGGTAAAAAGAATATTCCTACCAAATTTCAGGTCTCTAGGTCTTATGGCTCCAGAGATATCGTGATGAGTGACTATATACGTGGAAATCTCTTATATATATAGAGAGAGATTATTTTATTTTAGTAAGTATTCCAACTTGATAGTTACCTATATTTCAATCTATAACGCTAGTAAATACTTTCGTGGACTTTGGGTCGTATCCTTAGTTTCAGCTTATCGCATATAGCAGATTCTTTTCAAATTTGGAGCTTATAGGAGCTACAGCTCGGAAATTTAAAATTTTCATTGTTAAGACCCACCCCCGCACTCCTCTGTGGAGTGGGATATCGTAAAATTCGTTCATAAATTATTTTTACATCACTTACAGAAAATTCATACAAAATTATGAGTCTGTAGGAGCTAGAAGTCGGAAATTTTTAATTTTCATTGTTAACGTCCACCCCCGCAATCCATATTGGGAGTAGATTGTCATAAAATCCGCTCTTAGATAATTTTTACATCACATATAGGAGATTCCTACCAAATTTTAAGTCGATAGGAGCTATAGGTTAAAAATGGGAATTTTCCATTGTTAACGCCCCCGCAACCCCCCTTGTGGGTGGAATTTCGTAAAATCCGTTCTTAGCTGACCTCTACTCGGCGAAAGGAATATTCCTACCAAATTTCAAGTCGATACGAATTATGGTTCCACAGATATCGTGATGAGTCAATATATAGGTGGGAAATCTCTTATATATATATAGATTACAAGTGAAAATTTTTAGAATAATTTTTTTATTGTTATTGATTTGTTAAAAAAAAATCTTTTTAATTAATAGCTGACGGCTAATTTCAGTATTATTGTTAAATAAACAAATTTGTTAAAAAAATTATTTTTAAAAAATTGCATTTTTAATTTTTTTTAATTTCTACATGTCAATTTTTTTTTCTCATTATTGTCGTCATAATTTTTTTGTAAAAAAAAAATTTTTAAATTATCAAATATCTGCTAAATTAATTTTTATTAATTATGACATTAATGTAAGTAGTCACTTGTCAATTTTTTTTAACAAACAAATTTGCTCCAAAAATTATTTTAAAAAAATAGCATTTTTTATTTTTTTTTTATTTCTACTGCTCCAAAAATTATTTTAAAAAAATAGCTATTTTTTATTTTTTTTTATTTCTACATGTCAATTTTTTTTTACCATAATTTGATACAAAACTTCTTAAAATTTAATAAATATCTGCCGAACTAATTTATAATTTATGAAAATGAAAATTAAGTTAGCCGACATCTGAAAATTAAAAAAATTTTTTTTATTGAAAAAATTATTACAAAATGAATGAAAAAAAATTTCATTTGTAAAAAACTTGAAAAACTGTAAGTGCAATTTAAAAAAATTTTTTTTTTTTTCTAATTTAATTAATTAAAAAAATCAAAAAATTAAAAACGTCGGCTAACTTTAGTATTATTTTAATTTTTATTAATACTTAAATGACATTAAAATTAGCAGTCAGTTAAAAACTTTTTTATTTTTTTTTCACAAACATTTGTTCCGAAAAATTATTTTTAAAAAATTGCATTTTTTATTTTTTTAAATTTCTACATGTCAATTTTTTTTAGATAATTTGTTACAAAATTATTAAAATTTAATAAATATCTTCTAAATTAATTTTCATTAATAATTTCAGTAGTAAATAGAGTCGTGTATTTTTTTTCGTAATTTACGTTTGAATACAAAAATAAGCTGTATATTTATAGATATCGATTTTTTTGTAAAATTAATTTTTATTTAAAGAGTAGATAAAAAAAAAATTAAAATAGAATTGTTTTTTTTTTTTAATTCTTATTCATTTATTTGATAACAAATTACAGTTGCCATTGACGGTAAATTTGTTTTGACACAGTCAAAATAACATAGTGCAGAGTTATCACACATTTATATAAATCGAAGAGAGTATTATTATTTAAAAAATAGTAAAGAAATATTATTTACTTTGTCAAAACTAATTAATTTTAACTTTCGACACTTTGATTCACGCGGAAGCTGTTGATTAACTTGAGGTTACTTTAATTACTTTCAGTACTTTGGTAATTAATTATTCGATAACTGGAATATTTATTATTCAACATGGAAAGTATTTTTATACTGTTAAATTCATAATACGAGTTGATTAATACGTTTAAACATTTAAGTAAAAAAATGAATTAACTTTGAAAAATTGGTACTGTTTTTTTGGACGAGACGATTTGATTTTTTTTTAAGGCTTAGGGTCGTTTATCTGCAAAGCGTCGCGTCTAATTGAACTAGCCACGGCAAGAGTAATTTTATTTTTCGTCGGTAGCTCGGGTCATTAGCAATCGGATTGTGCTCGAGGTAAACTGTTTGGAGTTTCTTGTTCTCAGCTAATGCGTCGATTGCACTCCAATCTTCTATTTGGTTATTATTAATCTAAAAACATTAATAATTAAATTAAATTAATGACATTAATAATAATGACAGAAGGTAGTCAAAAAAATTCGACGGCTGTATTACAGGTTTACTCATAAAATCTCTACTCACAGCTATCAACGACATCTGCACTCAATTACATTTTTATTCGAAATCATCTTCATTCAGTCACAACTTTATTCAATCAAATCTTTACTCTGATTCAACTTTACTCAATATTACTTGCTTTCGGGTAGAATTTTAATCAGTAACAACCTTACTCAAATTCGACAGTAGTCAATTACAACCTTGCTCAATTTCAATTGTATTCATTTTAAAGTCTATTCACTGAATTTTTAACTCAATTACATCTCTATTCACAAAGAATTTATTCACTTACATTTGTAATCATTTACAACTGTACTCAAGTTCATCTCTACTCGCAAATTTATGGTTAATTGATAATGTAAAAATTCCTGAGTAGAGATGAACTTGAGTACAGTTGTAAATGTACTCAAGTTCATCTCTACTCGCAAATTTATGGTTAATTGATAATGTAAAAATTCCTGAGTAGAGATGAACTTGAGTACAGTTGTAAATGATTACAAATGTAAGTGAATAAATTCTTTGTGAATAGAGATGCAACTGAGTTAAAAATTCAGTGAATAGACTTGAAAATGGATACCATTGAAACTGAGCAAAGTTATAATTGACTACTGTCGAATTTGAGTAAGGTTGTAACTGATTAAAGTTCTACCTGAAAGCTACACGGAAAAAAATAAACTAATAAATAACAGTCGATTTATAATAAGTAATGATCAACTGCTAAAAAATACCATTTCAAACAGTAAAATCGTGATTTTACTATTTACTTTATAATATTTACTATTTAAACGTTACAATTTACTCTTTACATGGAAGAAAATACTATTTCAAACAGTAATATTCGCTGTGTGAATGTCTAAAATGTTAAAGTATAATAATTAAGAATTCAGACTTTAATATTTATCATTTCGTATCTAAAAAAATGATCTTATATAATATGTAAAAAGTATAAAATAAAGTTAGTAAATTTTTAATACAAGCAACGACAATATTTACAAAGTAAAATATTAAATTATAAATAGTGGCTTTTATACTTTCTATATTAAGTTCTGTAATATTTATATTTTTACCACCCCGATGTCCGCTTTACTGTTTGAAACTATAAAAATTAACCGGAATCCGAGTGAATATTACAGTTTACTTTTTTCTGTGTAATAATATTGAGTAAAGTTAAATCAGAGTAAAGATTTAATTAAATAAAGTTGTGACTGAATGAATATGATTTCGAATAAAAATGTAACTGATTGCAGATGTCGTTGATAGCTGTGAGTAGAGATTTTATGAGTAGACCTGTAACACAGCCGAAAAAGTCAATTAAAAAATTACCCAGAACTCTTCCAATAACTCCAAATGTTTGATGTTTTCAATTTTTTTAAGCTTATTGAAAGCAACATCGAGCGTAGTCAAGAGTTTGCAATTTTCCAATCCCTCGATACAAGTAAGTCCATTTTCTGATAAATACAATTGATCGAGCTGTGTCAAAGTCTCCAAATTTTCAATTTTGGTTATCCGGTTGCTCTGCAAACTCAGCAGCTGTAAATTAACCAAATGACCCAAGTTTGCTATTTTCGATATCTTATTTTTACCCAAAAATAAATTGGTCAAGTTTGTCAGGTTTTCTAAATTCTCAATGAAACGTATTTTGTTATCACCCAGCTCCAATACTGTGAGATTTGATAAATGCGATATATTTTCAATCTTTGAAATTTTGTTGGAAGATAAAAATAACTTTTGCAAATTCGTAAGTCGATCAAGATTTTCTATTTTTTTAATTCTGTTGAATGAAATGTCTAGAACTCTGTAATTAAATTGAAAAGTTTTAATTAATAAAAAGCTTGAATTAATTTTTTTAAACCTGTAATTTAAAAAATAACTTACTGAAGATTCACAAGAGCATCCAGATTCTCAATAACAGTTATTTGGTTGTCCCGTAATTCTAATTCAACCAAAGTAACAAGTGTATCAAGATTCTCGATTTTTTTTATCAAATTCCAGGTGAAACATAATTTTTGTATGTTTGTCAGAGGCTCGAGATTCTCCAGCTTGGTGAGTCTCGCGTGATTGAAATCAAGCTCCTTAAATTAATAAATAATTATAAAATAAGCAAACATCACAAAAAAATAAATAAATATTAACCTCTGACATGAAAATTAATTTACCAGATATGTGATAATTTTAAGAATTTTTTTAACAAATTGTGACAAAAAAAATTGACATGGAGAAATTAAAAAAAATCAAAAATTCAATTTTTTTAAAATAATTTTTCAAAACAAATTTGTTTGTTAAAAAAATGAACTGAAAAAAAAAATTCTTGACTGGAGTGTAAATTTTCTTGGCTCAAGCAAATATTAAGGAAGATTGAAAATTTCTTGAATGAAGTCAAAGTTTCTTGAGCCAAGATAATTTTTTCTTGCTCCAAAATAATTTTCGTTTTCCTTAAAATTTTCTTGGCGCAAGAAATTTGTTTTTTTATGTGTAATTAAATGACTGCTAAATTTAATGTCATACCTCTGACTCAGGATCCAAAATGCATATCCGTTCAGTTTCGGCTCCATCGCCAGGATCATTCTCACGGTCATCTGGCTCGGCATGACTGTCGGAATCAGCTCCGTTGTCATCTAGGCCACCGGATGCGTCGTTATGTACTGAGGGTCTGTTGTCTTCACCTTCAGCTTCTATTTCCTCAAATTTATCTCCTAAATAAACTCGAATATAAGCACCGTATAACTATTTTGTCATAATTATAACCTGCTAGAGTGTGTAATTTAATAACATTACCTATAGTAACACATTTATCACTCTTGGTCTCCATTTTATCGTGATTACGTAAAAAAATATCAACACCAATTGATTATTGGAGCAGTTATAAATTATATTTATTAAAATAACTCTATTCTATTAAATTGTTACTTTTTTTTCATTGATCTTCTCACATGCAACATAAACAGTATTATTGTCAGTGCAGTTTATTTATTTTTACTTTAATGAAAACTTGACTTAAGTTTTAGCGCGAAGTTTGAATTCACTGTCAATTTTTTTAAAATATTTAATATATTTTTTAGACAATGTTAATAAAAAATTAAGTTAGCTGACATCTAAAAAATTTTACAATTTTTTTTATTGAAAAAATTATTAAGTAAAAATTAAAAAATAAAATTTCACATAAAAAATAGTTTTTTAGTCATTATTTAATTAATAAAAAATTAAACGTCTGCTAATTTTAGTTTCATAAAAAAAACTTGAATTATTTATAAAAGAAAGAGTTAATTTATTTGATATATTAAATGATTAATGAACAATTAGTTTAATAATAAAATTCCGAAATATTTCAACAAATAAATCATATACTATGAAATAAAAAGTTATGGTTATTTTTTTCTCGCCACGATGCTCAGTTTCGATAAAGAATTAGGAAATAGTGACAGTAAAGAATTAGGAAATAGTGACAGTTTACAGAAAAAAAAAATATTATTTTGAAATAATATTAAGGTCGAGAAAACCGCGGCTAGAACTTTAAATCCGTAGCTTTCCTTGAGATGTTTTGATAAAAGAAGAAATAACTGTTGGGTGGCAGTTGAGAAATTTCTCTATACGCACCACCGATTATTGCCATCAACTATAAATGATTAAACCAATAGTTAAAGCCAATCATCTGCACTCGCAAATACTTAGTAGGATTACTTCTCAGAAGGGAGATTCTTTAACGAGTGTAAATAAGTAGACAGTTATTAAAAATAATAAATTTTTCCGAGTCCAGCAGTCGCGTCTCCTTTCATTTCAACGCATGGCCGCGCACCCGTATCGACCTGCAACACACCCACTAATCTTTAATCCGTTAGTATCTCTCGCTAATAGATTTTATTTGCCGCGGCCTCACTTTGCTTCTTATAATTGCATAATACATAAATAAGAGAGAGAAGAAAAGTAATGATCACTAAGGGCCGATATTTCTGTCCTCTAAATTAATAACGCCGACATTCGTATAAATGTAAATATTTATTTTATTAATCGAACGAGATTGAAGATAATTGTTCCACGGACATCTTAATGTCTTCAAGGATTAACAAGTTGATCATGTTAATTATCTTGAAGAAGATTTATGTAACAAATATTTTTAATAAATATCTGTAAGCGTGCATGCTGAGCCTCAATGTAATGATTTCAATGCCCACGCAGAGTGTATCATCCACTCTCTTATTTTTATTCATTCATTTATAGATTTATATATATATATATAAATATTGCTCATACAAACTCAATTATTATTGAAGGTATGTGTGAGTGAATTTAATTGTAACTTTGAGCTTCCGCTTTGATTTAGTTATAGCGAGTATTATATGTTGTACCTCGGAAAATTCCCACGATTTTTCTTCGCGTGTTCGATCCGTAGACTGACTGGTCAGCTGTCTGCGATTATCAACGCAACTCTTGAGATTCTATTTCATCATTCTTATTCAATACATTTTATGAAAAAAAAAAAAAAAAAAAAAAAAACACCCATCTCATTCCTCAATTATGATTATTAATTTTTTTTACATTCTTGTAAAGTAAAAAATAATAATCATACTGTTATTAGTAAATAGTAAATATATGAACATTAATATTATAATAAATAGTTAAAATGTCAAAGTACCTTAATAAAAACGACCTCGTGATGTGGTGCTCGAGAAGTATCGACTCGCGGGAGTAATCGAGGTAGTTTCTGTTCTTGAAAATAAAAAACCCCGAGCTACATATAGAGATAGATATTATATAGAGATAGAGATATAAATATAGATGGATTTGTATATTAGTATGTGTTGAAACTTACATAAAACGGACCACGCCCTGGTATCTAGCTTCAGCTCGATCGTATATCCATCAGACCCTCCAGAGGACTGCTATTCCATGAGAATAACTAGTACTGATCCTGGCGCATGATCTTCAGAGAATTTAAATCACCGATGTGTGTTTCAGCTTAAGGTATTTCTTCTGAATCGTACATCTAAATCATGGTATCAAGTGTTTTCCGGAGTGTTTTCTAGTATACTGATACCTACGCCTGGTCTTCAAGTCTCCAATTTATCTATTTATCCTCCAGTTCCTCCAGTGAATCCACGACGGTCTATTATCTTCCACTCTATTTCATTTTATCCCATTCAATTTTATTCTATTCAAACTGTCTGGAGTGTCTAAGTGCGTGGGTGTCTCGAGACATCTTGGATACAATACTGAGACTCACGGCGCGTTTACGCAACAGAGATCTAAATTTTGTTTAAATTTAAAGCAAAAAAAATATATATATTTATAAATAAATTGGATAATGCGGTATAATTATTCGAGTATTGAAATTCGAAGAATAACAAGGTAGAAGAAATTACGTAAGAAGAGACAATCGATTATTCGTGAGGATTTTGGCCCAGAAAATAAAATAACTAAATTACCGAAGCCCTAGGGGTCTCATTAAAAATTCCGATGACCTCACGACTGGATTTAATGTTTTCATCAATGCAAGTTTGGTTAAATTTTCTTCTGAGAGATAAAATATATATATATATATATATATATATGGATAATTAAATAATAAAGATATTTTAAAAAATGTAAATCACCCGGCGGAATGCCAAGATCGAGAAGCCAACGGCCTCTGAGTGATCCACGACATCGATCGATCGAGTTAACGGGGTTTCGAAAGCGAAATTAAACTACCTTCTCCTTACATTACATAGTTACACACCAGATATAGTTATTTTTAATATCATTATCATTATTGCACTCCCGAGTGAGACTACTCCGGATTCGGCTTCAGGGAGGAGTTACGTTAGACTCTTTTTATTCTACACTCTCCTATCATTACATTTTAATTTTATAATCTTCTCGCTTGATCAATCACTCGAGACTCGAACTAAATATTTATAATCTATAATATATATAATATATATATCTTTTGGACAATCACCAGCATTAACTTGTTAATTGCTTCAATCTTCGGCTATTTTTTAACTCAAAACTTTCTAATAAAAAAATTTAATTGTTGGCATTAATCAATTAAATAATCTTTATAAAAATAATGGTACTTTTTAAATATTCGACGATCAATAACGTCAGATAAAGTAACGCGTCTTAATCACAGTACCTACATACATATACATATAAAAGATGAATGCGCCTTTGGATTCGATAATTTGAGGCTTGACACCGTACTTAGTCTCCGGTCATCGTTTAATTGCATATGTCCAAGTGGGTATTTATTTTATTTGGGGCTTCCTCGACACAAGTGGAATCGACGCGTCAATTAATCTGCTTTTCGCCACGAGACTTTCATATAAAAAAATGAAATAAAACAAAAAATAATTGCGCAAATCCTTTAAAGATAAGCCGTTGTACTGCGGAGCCATTTGCTCTGCAGGCCAGAGAGAATCAGGGTGGCATCAGCACTCTTGTTGCTGTTGTTTTACACATGAAATACGTCAACTTTGCCAAACGGATTCTGATTAAAACTTTCATCTGTCCATCAAGGGCGCAAAAAAAAAAATAACCGAAAAGCCGGCTGGTAATGACGGAATTAATAATAACAAAAAGATAAATTAAGAATAAAAACCCGGCGTAAACGGATCAAGTAATACTGGAGTAATCATCCTCGACTGAAAGTACTGAAAGTACTGAAAGGGATTTAAGAAGAGAAGAGCGTGACTGCCCTTGGCCGAACTTAACATTGCCTGTGAAGAGGAGCTGAGGGGCAGAGGAGCTACTTTGGTATACCAACAACAGACCGCCTCTACTCACTTTTATTCATATTCTCCTTAACTTATTTATTTATTCTCTTTTCGCGGACTTGGAGTATGTATATTCACGTACATACACGTCCGTATTAAATAAAAAGGAGTTACGAAATATCAGAGCCTCCTCGATACCAGTTGAGATCTCACGGCAATTCGGTGCATCAATTATCTTTATAAGCCACTCGGTTGTCGGGCACCAGGGCGAGGGCTTTCGATCTGAATACACCTTGGATCGGTATATACTATCGAACTTCCCAATGCATCTCTACTCTGTTATTGTGAATGCTGGATGGTGAATACTGGAGATGTAAATCCTGCCAAGGCCTCGCCCATCATTGATTCACATTTACATTCACCTTCTCTCCGTTTTTTTTTTATTATCGATCCATTTTTATCGGATTTGCATAATGTATCATTAAACAAACTATATCATTTTTGGCTCCTGAATTTTTTATTTTAATCTTATCGATTTAATTGTCGATTTATTAAATAAATTGCTTCCTTTTAATTAGTAAATTAAATTACCCGGTTGGATAATTTATTTATTTAATATATATATTTTTAAACGACCGGAACTCCTTCCATTAAAACCTAAAAATTAATAAGTGGTAATTAAATCAGCAAAAAACGGTATGTAGTATCTATATACTTAAATGGGATTAAATCCTCTCGTAGACTCACACAATTAAAGACGATGTCAACTACTTATAAATAAATCTTGCCGTTTCATAATTTGACGTGCAATCATCACCATCCGGTTCTGCAACAAATAATTTTTTCATCCGCAAAAACTGCTGCACATTTCCTCGAGGATTGCTTAAACATAAATAAAGATATAATTGTCTAAATAGCTTCTGTATATTTATATAATATATTTATAACAAGGTTTGTTTTTTTGGGAATCCAATAAATTATTTTTTATTAAAGATTCATTGGATTATGTGACAAGTAATGAGAAGATAAAAAAATTTCGTCTATTAGAAGTCTAGCTGAAGAAATAAAAATAATAACAGCGACTGGGTATATCAGCAGAGCGGTAGGTCGATCTAGT